TGGGGCTTGTGGGTAGGAGGTAGCCGCCTCCCTCCTGAGGAGATTTCCCAGTGCCCTTCGGGAAGGAGGCTGGCGTGGTCACGTGTGGTCACATTGCCCGTCTTACAGCGAAGGCTGGGAGCAGAATGGCCTCTACGAGTTCTTCCGAGCAAAAATGCGGGCCCGACGGCGGAAAGGCCAGGAAAAGAGGAACAGGTAAGGGCGTCCCTGCTGACTTGTATGGAGTCATCATGCCTCCCTGGCTAGTCTTGTCATGAATTGGCTTAGAGTGAACCAGACACACTGTTCTGTCACACCCTGACATGTTGGATCATGCCCCCAACACCTAATGTCATAAAACATACGATATCACCCCCAATCATAGACAAAGTCAGGTCTAGCCTCTGTCTGGCTCTTGGGTCTAGCCCCTATGTTAAAGGTGCTAGGAGCCCTTCCCATAAGCCTGAGTTAAAACACCAGCACAAGAGAAGTTGGCTTTGGTCTGTATTCACCGAGCTGTTTAGGAAAGTGACACCGTGGTGTGAATGGCATGTCCGTACCCCTGGGGTCATTTGAAATCGGGTGGGGGTGGCAGGCTCAGCCTGTGTGGGAGCTGAGAGGTGCCAGCTCCAGCTCACCAGCCTCTCCCTGCAGCGGACCCTCACGGTCTCGGAGCAGATCCAAAAGCCGAGGGCGCTCCTCCTCTCGCTCCAACTCGAGGTCTTCCAAGTCGTCTGGCTCATACTCCAGGTCACGGTCACGCTCCTGCTCCCGTTCCCGCTCCTACTCCCGTTCCCACTCCAGGTAGGCAGGTACCACCTCTCGGGGACTGAGCCTGAGGCTTCAAGGCTGCCCAACTGACCCGCTGGGCTCTCCCCCACAACTTTGCTCCAACAGGAGCCGTAGCCGATCCCGCTCCTCAAGAAGCCGCTCGAGGTCCCGCTCCCGCTCCAGGTCCAAGTCATACTCCCCAGGCAGGAGACGTCGGTCACGGTCCAGGAGCCCCACTCCGCCGTAAGATTTGTGTCTTAACTGTCCAGTGCCCTGCTGGTAGCGCTGGAACCTCTGAGGCTTTGCTGTGAATGTTGAAATGTCATTTAGAAGACATGCTCCTGGTGGTCCCTGCTGGCACAGGGCCTCAGGGACACGCAAGCATTAACGAAGTGACAGTGGCACTTCCTTATCTCACATGGTGGTGGCTGGGCTCTGTTTCTAACCATTTTAGGGGCTTGGTGTGACCCTTGCTGCAGTGTGAAGCGGGGCAATCACCTTAGACAGTTCCCGTTATCAGGCTTGTGAAGAGGATGAAGAATAATAGAGACACAAGTGTGTGTGTGTCCATCCTGCACTGTGACTGTTCTCATATGCCACACCCTGTAATATTCTAAGTTTTCATTCCAATAAATATACCTGCTCATTTTTAAAAGATGTAACCTGTCTTAATTTTAGTTCCTCAGCTGGTCTAGGTTCTAATTCAGCACCTCCTATACCTGACTCCAGGCTTGGGGAAGAGAACAAAGGACATCAGATGCTGGTGAAAATGGGTAAGGTCCAGGGAAGAACAACTTGTTCTGGGATTTTGAGGTTGGGGATGATGGCGTCAGAGGAAGTCCCAGCTCACCACCCTGTCTTTGAAAGAGGGTGAGCCTGCTGGGCATTCTTTACCAGCTGTGTGCTTATAAACAGCATTTATGCATGTTACTCACCTCCCCAAATGCATTCCTACTTAACTTTGTGTCAGGATAAAGGCACCAGATTGCAGTTTTTGAGGTCGTAACCACTCACCCCTCTTTCTTCCTCAGGCTGGAGTGGATCTGGTGGCCTCGGCGTGAAAGAGCAAGGGATCCAGGACCCCATCAAGGGGGGGGACGTGCGGGATAAGTGGGACCAGTACAAGGGTGTGGGTGTGGCCCTGGACGACCCCTACGAGAACTACCGCAGGAACAAGAGCTACTCCTTCATCGCCCGCATGAAGGCCAGGGACGAGTGCAAGTAGGTGTGCTGAGGAGCTATGCCATCCGCCGGCAGCTTGGCAAGTGGGACCTTCCTGGCTTATTGGATGTGGAAGATGGTAGGGACCTCGGTTCTCACAGCCTCCATTTTTGGGGAGCTACAGAAGAGGACAGCCATAGCATACCTAGTGACCAGTGCCATGCTCTACTGCGGGAGGCACAGGCCCCACCGGCAAACCAGCTTTCACATAGAAGAAAGATTCACATGAGGACACCCTGCACTCATTCCCTGGACAGTGAAGCGAGAAACATGAGCCTCACCCCCTGGACAAGAATCCTTGACACCTGTAGGAATGGATTTTTCGTCTCTTCCCAGTCAGATGCGAGTCTCCGCTTAAATCAGCAAGCATGTGTGGAGGAGGCCTTGGGCGCGCACACCAGGTGCCGGACTAGGGTGCAGCGGGCCAGCTCTACAACCTGCACCTCCCACTTACGTCGTGACAAAGCTCAGGCCAGACGCTAGTACTGCTCACTCTTTAACAAAGGAAAAACAAAACCTTGATTTGCAACATTAAACAGGGTTTTCATTTTTACTCCAAATGGTTTAGTTTTTAAAAACATGTTGATCAAAGATGATCCCCAGTGCGATAATTTGAAACTTGATTCCTCCAAGACATACTGGCTCTTAGTTATTTTAGTTAAGTTGAATTTTTTTTTAAACGTTAGCCATTTGCTGTTATTTCCAGAAAGAAAAGGACCTAAGGAGATGGATCTGAGACATCTTCAGGTCACAGAATGGTCCCCGGGGAGGATCTGTGCCCTTAATGTCTACTTGTGTTTTTCACTTAAAAGAACCCCGACACCAGCACTTGCGTGCAATAGTCCATTCAGACCCAGTGTGGGGAGGAGCCACAGGCCATGCCTCCTGCTCTGTCACTTCCTTTTCCCACCCACCCCCTGCAACCACAAGGAGGTGAGGCCTGGAGGGAGCCACGGGGGCCACACTGGGATCAGCTGCACTTAGTATCTTCAGGCAGCGGGGTGTGGTGCCGTTTATTTGTACAGAAACATTTTCAAAAAATTCTTTTCGATAACATGCAAAATCCTCCAACTTTTCAACCTGATGTGATAAAATATTTGATTTTGTTCTAGGTTTCCTGTAGCTGTGAATTGTTTAAATGTGTCTAATTCAGGATATAAAGCATAAACACGTGCTGTTAACAATTTCTTGTGGGTTTTACTGTTTTGCCTTCAAATAAAGACTTTTTCATAAAGACCTTTTTCTCGGTGTGTGGAGCTCAGAAGTGTGCTCAGGCTCAGACGGGAGGAGGGGTGTCTGAGTGTGGACTGAGTTGTAGGCTCAGGTCAAAAGCTCTGCCTGGTGTCTCACACCAAGGTCCCCGGGATGGACCCCTGGCCCTGTGTCCTCGTTAGTAAATGGGACTCTCATGCCCATTGACCTCAGCTCACTGGGAGGCCAGAGCCGGGACAGGTGGAGCCGTTCCCCGGGGCTCCAGACAGGCTGGCAGCCTCTGTGGCCATGAGGGGTAACGTCACCGGGTTCCATTTCCACTGGTCTATGGTCCATTTCCACTGGTCTTGGGTGCTGGGAGGGGAAAGCACTCAGGTGCGTCCTAGGTGCCACCTGCCCCCTCCCACATTAAATATCCCCTGGACGCTAATGTGTTACGGCTGGAATACTAGACCAGCTTGTTGGAACCACAAGCCAAGCCTTACCTGGTGGTGCTCACAGCTCCTTCTTCACCTCCCTCAGAGCGTCCTCCATGGTCAGTGGGGCGGGTCTGTGGTGCCTGATGTACTGTGGAGCAGAGGACAGACAGGGACATGTCACCACCACGCCTCAGCCTACCGGGGCTTTGGGTGCTGAAGACAGTGCCCGTCCCCAGCAGTTCCTGGTCACGCTGACAAAAAATGACAGATGCCATGTGATAACGCTGTGGGAACCAAGGAGAGATGAGCCCTGGCTGACTGAGTCTGAAAGGACGAGTGACTGCTGTCAGGAAGGAAGGAGGGCTGGGTGCCCTTCTCAGGACACGGGCCCAGAGCGGGCAGCGAGGAGCCATGGTAGGCTGTGGACAGCAACGTGGTCAGATCACCACCTACGTCCAGTCAACTGATGGACGTCCAACAGAGGAGCAAAAGGGATCCCACAGGGTGCAACCAGCAAAGTCCGGAATGTGGGAGGCTGTCAGACAAACAACCTGTCTTCTCTAACAAAAGAGATGGGGGGGGGGGTAGAGCAGTGGTTCTTAAAGTGGGTCCCCAGTGGGCCACCGTGCTGCCAACCACCTGGGTAGTCACAGACTTTGGGTGCTACACTGCTCAAGGCTGAGAATCACTTTTCCAGATGAGGAGGCTAAATAGACAGAAGGCATCCTGATGCATGGACTGTGTCTGGATCCTGATGAAAAAAACAGCAACGGCCGGGCCAGCATGGCTCAGTGGTTGAGCATCAACCTATGAACCAGGTCATGGTTCGATTTGGGTCAGGGCACGGCCTGGGTTGTGGGCTCGATCCCCAGTGTGGGGTGTGCGGGAGGCAACCGAGCAGTGATTCTCATCATTAATGTTTCTGACTCTGTCTCCCTCTCTCTTCCTCTCTGAAATCAATATACTTTTTTTTTTTAAAAAAAAGAAAAAAATAGGAACATGTTCAACTTTTATGAGATAAGTGGAAATCTGAACCCTGGATTTCAAACAATATAAAGTTAATTGGGTGTTGGTATGATAATGGTACTGTGACTATTTTTTAAAAAGTCCTTATTTTTTAGAAATACATACTGAAATATCGGTAGATAAAATTATTTTTAAAATCATACAGATCATATAATATGCCATTCCTATAAAGAAGTATACATGTAATATATAATATACCTAGTACATTGTAATGTATTTTATATATTGTGTATTATAACGTGACATATTACACATCAAATAGTTCATATTTTACATAAGAAAAGTGTACAGAATATATCAAGCTTGTACTAATTATCTCTGAAATTACAGAGGACTATATAAGTTACATCTCTCTGTAACTTTTTATAAAATAATAGACTTTGTGTGGTCAGACAAAAATTAAATGTTTGGAGGGGAAAAGAGGTGAGTGTGTCATCCCTTGAGCTTCAGCCCATGGGACTGAGAAGAGCCATCACGCTGGGTGGTTCAGGAGAAGAGTCTGGAGGGACAGCACCCCTCACCAAGGAGGCCACCGTTGGTCAGAGGTCACTCAGAGCGGGGCAGCTTTGGTGCATGCCAGGCTGGCCGTCAGCGCCTCGGCCCCACACCGGCTCTTGTCGTGGACAAGGAGAGAGCAGGTTCCTTCCCATAGGACAGAAGGTGGCTGGGCCCAAGGACCCCTGCTGCCCTGGGCTGAGTGCTGTCCCCCTGGTCGGAGCCCCGCCTGCCCTCCCTCTCCCATGGGGGGCAGCTGTGTCACCTCTTTGGTTTCCTCCAGGGTGTGGTAGTGGAATGCGTCTTGGTCCAGGGACTGCAGGAGGGACCCATGCAGGTGCCGGCTGGTCTCCATGAACTGCTGCGTCAGGCTCAGCTGCTGCTTAAGCATGTCATTGAGGGCGAACACGGCCGGGCTGTAAGCTGTCAGGGCTGCCCCCAGCACCGAGTTACTGAGCGGCCCCTGGGCCCGTCCCCCCATCCCCACCCCAGTCCCCTCATCCTGTCAACATCAGCTGCTTTGGGCCCAGGTGTTCTGCATGCCCCACTCCTTCTGCTATGTCTCCATACTTTCCAGAAGCAATGCCACCTTGGGAAGTAGTGAAGGCCTTGCCTTTTGTCTGTCTCTAATAAATGAACTGCCTTCTCCTGATGTGTGTGAACCTCAGAGCTGCATGTCAAGAATGCTCACCTCTTGGGCAGATTCGGAAGTCTTCACCTCCACATCCAACACACAGAAAGGTTAGTAAACTGACACCCAAAATGTGCAGTTGCACAATATAAATCTATTTACACTACCCACTATCCACTTAAATATGAGGAAGGGGCCCTAACCGGTTTGGCTCAGTGGATAGAGCGCTGGCCTGCAGACTGAAGGGTCCCGGGTTCGATTCTGATCAAGGGCATGTACCTTGGTTGCGGGCACATCCCCAGTAGGGGGTGTGCAGGAGGCAGCCTAAGGCAGCCGATCGATGTTTCTCTCTCATCGATGTTTCTAACTCTCTATCCCTCTCCCTTCCTCTCTGTAAAAAATCATTAAAATATATATTTTTTAAAAAATATGAGGAAGGGGGTAAATTTGACTTATGCATTTTTAAACACGTAATTAAAACAAAATTTTTAATAAACAATTAGAATTAAAACTGCAAGTGTTAAAAACGATCATTATTCAAATATATAGTAACACTAGAGGCCCAGTGCATGGATTCGTGCACTGGTGGGGGGGCGTGGCCTGCGGGGATCGACCCGCTGTGGGAGCGCTGCTCATCCATCCCCGTCAGCCAAGCATTGAGCATCTGCCCCCTGGTGGTCAGTGCGTGTCATAGTGACTGGTCAACCGGTTGTTCTGGTTGTTCCGCCATTTGGTTGCTGGGCTTTTATATATATATAGATGGAAAAATCTTCAAGGTTAATATTAAGTTTTTAAAAATCTCTTTTTAAACATATAAACATTTCTTTTGTAACAATTACTATATTTTAATATCTTCATATTTTTAAAATATTAAGAAAACTAAAATGGGGGGAAAATAACAAGTACTAGTGTAACCTTGCTGGTGTCACATGAGCTATCAGTGGCCCCATGGGCTCCCTAAGAAAAAGGCTTTTGGAGGACTGTTGCGTGCCTTCCTCCCACCCCAGGCTGGATTGGGTCTCCCTAGGCTCCGTGACTCCCCCAGACTCAGCAAGGAGGCCAGTCACAGTACTGGCTGAGTGTCTTCAGAGGAAAAACAAATAATGGATTCTGGATTAAAAGGCTCAAAGGGGAATATACAAAATAAAAATAGCCTGGTGAATGGAGAGGCTTAGAGGTGTGTTACTTATAACCTTCCTCTTTTGTCTGACATTCGTATCCTTTGGCGAGACAGATGGAGGGTTCTTGATCACTCAGTCTATCACAGCGGTTCTCAACCTGTGGGTTGCGACCCCTTTGGGGGTCGAACGACCCTTTCACAGGGGTCGCCTAAGACCATCGGAAAACACATATATAATTACATATTGGTTTTGTGATTAATCACTATGCTTTAATTATGTTCAATTTGTAACAAGGAAATTAGGGGGTCACCACAACATGAGGAACTGTATTAAAGGGTCGTGGCATTAGGAAGGTTGAGAACCACTGGTCTATCGTCTGGGATTCTAGGAACTGTAGCAGCTGCCTATGGCTATGACAATCCCCACCAACCGATTCCTCACACCCAGCACTAAAGGGGGTGCCGCACTTCCAACGGTGGGGGTGATTTGCAGATGAAATGCATCCACTTCACCACAAGGACCCCCCGAGCTGGGCTGTTACCTTCTATTGCATCTGCGCTGACAACATGACTGGCGATGGGTGTAGGGTCCACATAGGCACCTCCCAGGGCTGGCCCGATGGTCGCCATACCAGCCTCTGTCCCGAGGAAAAAGGGGGAGGGGTAAGTGGCCGGATTTGGAGCAATGGCTGCAGTAAGGCTAAGGCCCCCAATCTAAATGAACCGGTCCAGGAGAATTATACCCACTTGCTCAGTCCAGGAACCAGCTCGGTCTATGCTGTGGATGTTGTCTAGACAAGGGAGCAAGACAATGCTTAAAGGAAAGGGAACTTTTGCCCTGGCCAGCATTGCTCATTGGTTAGAGTGTTGGTGCACATACTGAAGGGTCTGAGGTTCAATTCCTGGTCAAGGGCACGTACCAGGGTTGTGGGTTTGATCCCTGGCCCGTCAGGAGGCAACCAATCTATGTTTCTTTTGCTCCCTCCCTCCATCCCTCTCCTTCTCTTCTAAAATCAATGGGAAAATATCCTTGGGCGAGGATTAACCAAAAAAAAAAAGGGAACTTTCTTTCCAGAAGGGCCAAGGCTGACACTGGGGACAAGAGAAATGTCTGGAAAGTCATACTGGGCGTGATGAGAAGGGCTCCCTGCACCACAGGAGAGAATCCACCCAAACACACCAACTTGAGACCACCAGCTAGTGCAGCCCTGGGAGACCTGCACCGGCCCCAGGAGCTGCTTGAAGACAGTTTCTGTCGCAATGCTGCTCCCCCAGGCTCACCCTGGGCACCACTGACATTTGGGCCACATCACTCTTTGGTGGGGGTGTCCTGGGCACTGCGGGGCATTAGCAGCCTTCCTGTCCTCCACCCAGCCACCACAGCCCCAAACGGCTCCAGACCTTGCCAATGTCCCCCGTGGCCAGAATCACTCCAGTTGAGAACTACCGCCTCGGTCAGTGATTCTGGAAACTCATAATGTTTGAGTGCTCGGAAGAGAAGGAAACACCTAGGGCAGCTGCCCCTCATCTGTGTAAGAGGAAAGCAGGGCACCGAGCACCCCCAGCTAGTTACCCACAATAGCCAGACTCCAGACACTGGAGCTCCTTGTCATGCCTCCAGGGTGCCCACTGCACAGCCTGAGTGCCCGTCACTGCCACCGTGGCCTGCGCCGCCATCCTCGGCCACTCCGGCCTCACACTTACGCTTTGTCCACTGGTAGGTGAAGGCGGGGTCAAGGGTCTGCACAGCCTGCTCCTTCACCGTGACTCTTGTCACATCCTGGGCCCACTTTTTCCGAGAGGCACCTGTTGGTGGGGGGTGGTCTATCTGTAGGCTTGCAGAGAGTTCAGACAAAGTGGCCAACGTCCTGTCCAGAGACTCCTCAGAATGGGTCGTTGGCTCTGATGCTGTCCGACTTGGAGATTTCTCGAAATCTTCCGAATAAGCCCAGCTCACCGTGCTGGCCATAGGCTCCCCAGACATCGGCCGCCGGCTAGCAGCACGCTGGGGCGCAGCAGAGGAGGCCGAGGGCTCGCTCAGGTGCTCCGAGACCTCGCTTCCTGTCGGGGGGTCCCTGGACCCGGGGCTTTTGCTGGATGCCTTTTCCCTCCGACCTCCTTCCTAAAACAAAGGACAGCAGAGATAACTGGAAAGTGTCTTCGAGTGATGAACATGCTCCAGATACCACTGCCTTCGACGGGGTGCGGTGCCCCTGGGGGCCCACCAGGCGAGGGCCCACGTTGTCCTGCATGAGCTGTGTACGGGGGAGTCACTGAGTGGGATTCCTGATTTGCTCCAGCACGGGCTGCTGCACGTAACACCGATGGTTTCAGGAGGGAGCACATGAGTGAAATCTGTTGAGGTGTCACTATTGTGTATTATTAGATGCCTTGGATATTGAGGTGGTCACTAATACGGCAAGAATCACAATGGGGCAGTGGAACAAGTCGGGCAGGTGTCGCTATGGGGTGGACTCCATGGGGCTGTAATTGTCCACGGTATTAAGTAGCTTCATCCTGTTATCACCTAAGTCAGGGTCTCCCCTGAGAGCCAGACGTTCTTTGCAGTGGGGCCGTCCTGTGCCGGGCAGGGCACTGAGCAGCACCCAGCCCAGCAGCCACCCACTCAACGCCAGCACCCCCCCCCCCCCCCCCCCCGCAGTCATGACAACCAAAACATGTCTCTAGACATCACCACGTGTCCCCTGGGGGCACAATCACCCCGTTAAGAACTGCTGACCTAAAGGAAGTGTAACAGTTGCAAACCTTCCTGAGTCATGACTTACAATGAAAAATTAGACAGTTGTACTTACTTTCTGTTCCAAGTCCGATTGCGTGTTGACAGCTGGAGCCAGATCATCAAGGGATAAAACATTTATCCTAAAATCTGTAATTAAAAACGTAACATGATAATATTTACTCATTGATTTGCTCCATAAATGTTTGCCATCGTGTTGTAGGCACCGGGCTAAGCGCTAGGGATAGGAAGATGGGAAGACATGCCCTCCCTGTGCTCAGTAAGCTAGTCCAGGGGGTCTGCACACTTTTTCTCTAAAGAGTTAGACAGCAGCCTGGCTGGTGTGGCTCAGTGGTTGAGCAGCAATCCATGAACCCAGAGGTCATGGTTCAATTCCCAGTCAGGGCCCATGCCCAGGTTGTGGGCTCAATCCCCAGTGTGGGGCATGCAGGAGGCAACCGATCAATGATTCTCTCTCCTTATTGATGTTTCTATCTCTCTCTCCCGCTCCCTTCCTCTCTGAAATCAATAAAAAGATATTTTTAAAAAAGAGTTAGAAAACAAATATTTTTGTCTTTGAAAGCTAGACAGTTTCTGTCCCAACTACTCAGCTGTCCTTAATGTGTGAAAGCCACCACAGTCAAGGTGTAAACAAACGTGTGTGGCTGTGTCGTGTTCTGATAAACATTTATAAAACAAACCCTGGGCCTCCTGGGTCCTGGTTAGATGGATGAGCAGATGATCATGATGCAATGAAGATGCATGGGGGCCAGTGTGCTTCAAGTATGCGGGGTGGGAGGGCCACCCAGCCTCTGGGGGAGATGGGAAGAAGGCTGCAGGGCCTAGTGGAGTGGCCCCTCAGGCAGATGTGAGGCTGGGCCTGATGCATCCTAGGTTCTCATTAAAGAAGTTAAGGACATGGGAGCTGGCACCGAATGAGCATTCTGGCACTCCAGCTGGCCGACTGCCAAGGCCGGACGGTGTGAGTGCTAAGGTATTAGCAGGAACAGATGGGAGCAGGGCCCTCTGGGCAGGAGGCAAGAGCTAGCGGTGGGCGAGAGGAGCACAAGCTCCTATTCTCTCTGGAAAGGCCAGCTGAGGGGCTGCGCCCAATGGCCTCCCCACCTACCCACCGAAAGACCAGATCCAATCCAGCCTGACATTCCAGCCCGAGGACTCGCCCCTCCTCCTCTCACACTAACCGTCATCTCAATTCCCATGGCAGATAGGTCCAAACATGCAGTCACAGACAACACCTCTGAGCTGGGCCCTCCCAGCTGGCCCAGGGCAACGGCCCAGGGAGATCATGGCCTTGAGCACGTGGAACAGTGCTGGCACTGGCTGAGAAGTAACATCACTGTCACATCAGCCAATCTTTAAATTCACGTGTGAAGCAGGGCCAGCGGAGGCACTCCACATGCACTGTCTCATGGACTAGGCTCTGTCCCACTTTACAAATGAGGAAACTGAGGCACAGAAAGGCCAAGCCTGCACCACCAATAACCAGTGGAGTTAGGAGGTCCCCCAGGTATGTCAGACCCCAAACTCGGACTCGTACTCACCACTCATTCCCAGCTGCCTCCCTCCCTGGAGGCTGCAACTGGATGAGGGTGGGCGGGGTCTGGCCACCAGGACAGACCCCTCCAGGCAGCAGTGGGGCCAGAATGGTGGGAATACCCACCTACCAGCCCCTCAGGCCCAAGGATCCTGCCAGAATAGGCCAGGCGTCCAGTGGCATTTGGCAGCCCCTGAGGGGCTCAAAGGGGTGTTCTCATATCCACAGCCTAAACCGGTCCCCTGCGTTCTCTGGCCCTAACCGAACCTGGGCGGCGGGAGGGGTGGGCTTCAGTTGGCAGTGTTTCTTCCTCCCCTCACCCCCGGGTGGCACCTTGGCACACTGAGCACTTCAAGCTGAAAGAACCTGAGAGTTGGCAGGTGCTGCAAGGGCCCTGCCCTTCTCCGGGCAGCAGGTCGTGAGAGGGGCCGTCCCTCTACCCAGAGGAAGGGAGCACCCCCGTGGCCAAGACAGAGGGGCCCTGGGGAATCCCAAAGAGCAGGCTTGGCTCAGTTTACGGCCTTCGCTCCTTTCCTCTTGTCCGGTCACATTTTCCAGGCCTTTCCACTCCTCTCCGAACCCAGCACACACAGGCGGGGCTAACAGTCCCTCGGGTCTTCATTTCCTTACGGGGCTCCCATGTCATGTACAACTTACACTAAATATTTATTTACTATGTCATGCCCTCCTCCTGTTCAACTGTCTTTTTGTTTTGTTTTGTTAATCCTCACCTGAGGATATTTTCCCATTGAGAGTGGAAGGGAGAGGGAGAGATGGAGAGAGAGAAACATCGATGTGAGAGAGACACATAGACTGACTGTCTCCCACACATGCCCCAACCAGGGCCAGGCATCGAGCCTGCAAATCAAGGTACACGCCCTGAGCAGAATCAAACCCGGGACCCTTCAGTCTGCGGGCCAACGCTCTACCCACTGAGCCAAACCGGCTAGGGCTCACCTGTCTTTTGTTACAGAGCCGCAGTGGAGAACCTAGAAGGGGCAAAGGAAACAATCTATTTTTCCTCCCCTTCAACGGAGTCACGAGTTAGTCAGTCACCTGGCACCCGGGGGCAGGCTGGCCTCTGCTGGTCGTCCTGCAGGAACACAGCAGGCACCACAGACAGTTCTTTAGTTTAGATCTGAGGATCAAGCTCCCCAGAAGGAAGAAACCCACGCTGGCAGCACATCTCTTTGCTTTCTCCTCTTTCTTAAAGACACACAATTTTAAAATAAAAGTGTTAAATAATGTGGAAATGTCTTTGACTAGAGATGTTTTTCTTTTCCAAATTTAAAAAGGAAAGGAGGTAAATTTCTTTCACAAAAAGGAGCACTGAGTTGCCTCTCTTTTGCACATGGCTCTAGAACAGTGGTTCTCAACCTTCTGGCCCTTTAAATACAGTTCCTCATGTTGTGACCCAACCATAAAATTATATTCGTTGCTACTTCATAACTATAATGTTGCTACTGTTATGAATCGTAATGTAAATATCTGATATGCCGGATGGTCTTAGGCGACCCCTGTGAAAGGGTCATTCGACCGCCAAAGGGGTCGGGACCCACAGGTTGAGAACCGCCGCTCTAGAAGGATTTCTAGGAGGATTTGGGCTATTGCTCTATAATTGGTCAGGTTTCTGGATGACGAGATTAAAGACAGAACAGCCCTGGCTGGTGTGGGTCAGTTGGCTGAGTGTCGTTCCATGCACCAAAAGGTCACACTATTCCTGGTCAGGGCACATTCCCACATCCCAGTCGGGGTGCGAACGGGAGGCAGCCGACTGATGTTTCTCTCTCACACTGATGTTTCTCCCTCTCCTTTCCCCTCTCTCTAAAAACAGACTTAAAAAATAAAAAGAGGCCTGACCAGTTTGGCTCAGTGGATAGAGCGTCAGCCTGTGGACTCAGGGGTCCCGGGTTCGATTCCGGTCAAGGGCATGTACCTTGGTTGCGGGCACATCCCCAGTGGAGGGTGTGCAGGAGGCAGCTGATCGATGTTTATCTCTCATCGATGTTTCTAACTCTCTATCCCTCTCCCTTCCTCTCTGTAAAAAATCAATAAAATATATATATATAAAAAAGACAGAACAAAAATCTGACTTGGCCCCTCAGGGAAGGTCAGGGGGTACAGGGGGTGACAAGGCCGACCATGCACCCCGGTGACAACAGCCTGTGACCACCATCCTGGGGGGACCCCAAGGAGGCCTTGCCCTGTCTGCCCAGGGCTGCGAGTTACCATTCAGGCTGTCGTCAGAGGCTTCCGAGAGCGACTCCTCCGCAGGCCCGGCCCCACCCCTCACGGGAGAGGGTGAGAGCCTGCCACGTGCCTCCCTGGAGGGCTCCGGCTTTGACGCCGCGCCGGATGCTGCGTCCCCGGGAACGTGAGCCTGTGGGGAGTGAGCTCTTGAGCGCACACTGCGAAGAGTCCCGCCTGCTAATTGGAAAGCTGGCAGATGTGCTGTCCCAGGTGGCTCTGCGCTGGAAAGGTCCTCACTGGATAGTGACAGGAGTTTCGGTTGAGTTGGGATCTGATCCTATTTTGGCAGAAATAAGAGAAACAAAATTACCAAACGCGTGGTAAGTAAGTCCTTATCATTTGACAACGTGGCTAGTAGGGTGCATGGGACCAAGGCTTCCTAGACCAGATATTCATCCCTCAGTGGCCCTCTCTCTCTCCCCTCATCTCTGGAAGTCAAGGTACAACATTTAGACAAGATAATGTTAGAATTAAAAATACTCCCCAAATAATCAGAAATATCACTTCGCCTTCAAATACATACTGTTAATTACACATTTCTAAATGAAGGCCCCTAAGTACATGATCTATGATAGCTGGGACCTTCAACAGAACCAAAATGAATATGCAGAGGGTTTCCCCATAAAACACAGCCTTCCCAATACTTAGTATTCACTACGGCCGTGGTCGGCAAAACACGGCTCGTGAGCCACATGAGGCTCTTTGGCCCCTTGAGTGTGGCTCTTCCACAAAATACCATGTGCAGGCGCGCACGTACAGTGCGATTGAAACTTCGTGGCCCATGTGCAGAAGTCAGTATTTTGTGGAAGAGCCGGTATTTTGTGGAAGAGCCACACTCAAGGGGCCAAAGAGCCACATGTGGCTCGTGAGCCATGGTTTGTCGAGCCGCAGTTTGCCGACCACTGCACTAGGGTAGCTATAATCACAAAACAGAAAATAAGTATTGGCAAGGATGTGGAGAAACTGGAACCCTCATACACTGCTGGTGGGAGTGTAAAATGGTGCAGCCGCTGTGGAAAACAGCTTGACTGGTCATCAATAAGTTACTCATAAAATTACTGTAGGACCCACTAATTCCACTCCGAGCTATTTACCCAAAAGAACTGAAAACAGACACTCAAGATACTTGTACACAAAAGCTCATAGCAGCAGGATGCCCAAAAGGTAGACAACTCAAATGCCCACAATGAATTAATGGATAAATAAGATGTGGTCCATCCACACAATAGAATATTATTCGGCTATAAAAAGAAGTGAGCCCTAGCCGGTTTGGCTCAGTGGTAACAACATCGGCCCATGGACTGAAGGGTCATGGGTTCGATTCTGGTCAAAGGCATGTACCTGGGTTATAGATTCAGCCCCCCACCCGGGTCAGGACACATGCAGGAGGCAACCAATCAATGTGTCTCTCTCACATCGATGTTTCTCTCTGTCTCTCCCTCTCCCTTCCACTCTCTGTAAAAAACAATGGGAAAAATATCCTCAGGTGAGGGTTAACACACAAAAAAACAAAAACAAAAGGAGTGAAGCACTGACACACACTATAATGTGGATGAACCTGAAAACACCATGCTGAGTGAGAGAAGCCAGACACCAAAGGCCCTTTGTTGTGTGATTCCATTTATATGAAATGTCCAGGACAGACAAATCCATGGGGACGGAAAGCAGATCAGTGGTTGTCAGGGGCTGGGGGAGGGAGAAATGGGGAGAGATTATTTCATGGATACAGGGTCCCCTTCGGGGATGATAAGAATGTTCTGGAACTAGACAGAGGCGGTGGTTGCAAAACATTGTGAAAGTACTAAACGCCAGTGAACTGTTCATTTGAAAATGGTTAATTTTATGTGACTTTCATCTCAATTAAAAAAATGGAAATACAGCCTTCCCAGGTTAATGATTCCTGTGCGATACAAATGACAAGTAGGCATGGATTGCCTAGGGCCGTGGTCAGCAAACTCATTAGTCAACAGAGCCAAATATCAACAGTACAACGATTGAAATTTCTTTTGAGAGCCAAATTTTTTAAACTTAAACTATATAGGTAGGTACATTGTCGTTAACTTAATTAGGGTACTCCTAAGGCTTAGGAAGAGCCACACTCAAGTGGCCAAAGAGCCGCATGTGGCTCGCGAGCCGCAGTTTGCCGACCACTGGCCTATGGCATTATCACTGCTGATGTTCAGTCCGTCAGACAAAGTGCTGCCCTGTGGTGTACACAGTTACGAGTTATTGCAAAACTGCCTAACGTGTCCCAAATTCCAGCCCCTACAGAGCAGGCCCACAACAGGTAGCTGTGATGGTCTTTCCTCCTCAAACCCTGTTCTCACGTGGCTTCTGGGTGACACCTGCCATCAAGAGTCTCTGGTGCTATGACATAAAGGTACAAATGCAAAGACTGTTGAAAACAGATGCCTGCAAACCTTACCGAGAACAGTTCCATTTGTTTTTTCCCAATGACTCTGGCGCTGGTGAAGCCCTGATTCGTGCCTGGTTCTTTTCCTCTGAACGATTCCATCAAGCTTCCCAGCAACTCTTTCATTTCCTCTTCGTCACTGTCTGGCGAACCCAGGTTTCTAACGGGTGCTTTCTCTTTGGGTGCTGAAATAGTCCTCTCTTTCCCAAAACGGGCTGCAGGAGAAAGCTCTTCAACAGCTGGCTCTCTCTTCTTCAGGAACCTACTGCCCTTCCCCCGCGGCGTGTGGCTCTCGGCGAGAGGAATGTCACGGGCCTGCTTCTGGGAGGTTTTGTCTGTGTTCTGTGAAGGAACTTCAGCTGGACTCCGAGGAGGCACTTTGTCTGCTCTCCAGGGAAGGCTGTCCTTGGAGGTCTTCGAGTTGGATTCCATGTCAGACAAGTCCATCTGCACCTTCCGGTTCATGATCTTGGACTCGATCTGGGCCAGTTTCCGCAGCGCGGCGCTGGTCCTGAGCTTTGAGGCAGTGGTCGGGGGGCTCCCTGAGGACAGCCAGGGCCCACTCCCCAGCCCAGCATCCTCTTTCGGGAAGAAGTGTTGTCCACCCATAGTTTGGCTTCTTTTTAGAAATCTGCTATGACTGGGAGCTATTTTGGTAAGATTCCTACTGATTTTCAAGTTCTTTATTTTTTCCATCTTTGAATCTTCAAAGGAAATATCATTGAAATCACCAGAGATATCCCGCATGGGATGGCTGTTTTTTCTTGTTGAAGCCATTCTGAGGAGGAAAGAAAGAAAACGTATCACACATTCAAACCACCTCTTTGTAGTCTGGTCAGACAGCCTTCCCTGCAAGCCTGATGACAAGGAAAATGATCAGACACTTGGTACCATTTAAGCAATTACTGCTTTTTAAAAATATATTTTTTATTGATTTCAAAGAGGAAAGGAGAGTGAGAGAGAGAGAGAAACATCAATGATGAGAGAGAATCATTTATTGGCTGCCTCCTGCACGCCCCTCACTGGGGATCGAGCCAGCAACCCGGGCATGTGCCCTTGACCGGAATCGACCTGGGACCCTTCAGTCTGCAGGCCGATGCCCTATCCACTGAGCCAAACCAGCCAGGGCTACCTACCACTTTCATGCCAGGTCTTAAATGAGATGTTAGTTATGAAACACAAGAGCTAGCACTTCTCAGGCTGCAGCAGTGTACCCAGCACTCTGCTCAGAGCTACGTTATCTCATTTAATCCTCAAGCAACCCTGTGAGTCAATTATTGTCACCCCCTTTCGTACAGGAAGTGTAGAAAACAAAGCCCCCACAGGTTAGGTCACCGGCCAAGGTCACCTGGTGGGTGAGCACGTGAGCCAAATTCAAAGCTTTACTGCCTCCAGTTATTCCCCCTCTACGCTGAGTGACTCCCACTCTCCGCTAAACCCAAGTCAGGGCTCCTCTGTTTTTTTGTTTGTTTGTTTTCTTTAATATATTTTTATTGATTTCAGAGAAGAAGGGAGAGGGAGAGAGAAATAGAAACATCAATGTTGAGAGAATCACTGATCGGCTGCCTCCTGCACGCCCTCCTAGTGGGGATCAAGCCTGTAACCTGGGCATGTGCCCTGACCAGGAATCAAACTGTGTCCATAGGTCGATGCTCAACCACTGAGCCGTGCCAGTCGGGCAGGGCTCCTCTTTGATCCGTCCTCAACTCTCTAACAAAGAGCTGTTAAGTTACAATCTGGCCCAGCCGGTGTTGCTCAGTGGTTGAGCAAGGACCTATGAACCAGGAGATCACGGTTCAATTCCCAGTCAGAGCACATGCCCAGGTTGCGGACTCGATCCTCAGTAGGGGGCGTGCAGGAGGCAGCCGGTCAATGCGTCTCTCTCAACATTGATGTGTGTTGTTTTTTTATTTTTTTTTTATGTTTCTATTTCTTTAACATTGATGTTTTCATCCCTCTCTCCTTCTCCCTTCCTCTCTAAAATCAATAAAAAATATATATATTAAAACACACACGCGCACACACACACACACACACGCACACGCACACACGCACATGCGCACACACACACAATCTGGCCCTGGCTGGGTGGCTTTGCTGGTGGGAGCATAGTCCCATACACCAAAAACGTTTCAGGTTCGGTACCGGCCTGGGCACATACCTAAGTTGCAGGTTCGATTCCCAGTCTGGGCACGTACCAGAGGCAACTGATGGATGTTCCTCTCTCTCAATATCTCTCTCTCTCTTTCTCTCTCTAAGAGTCAATAAAACCATATTCTCTGGTGAGGATTTCAAAAATCACAGACACTGTCAGTGTATTTGAGCTCCCCAGAAAAATCTTATTTCAGTAAAAGTATGAGAACCGCTGACCTGGAAGGAGGGGAAAGCTACGGACAGACACAGCACCCTCCCCTCAACAAATGTCAGCCATATATTATGTACACAAGCTGGAGTACATTTTTCTGAGGAGAAGGACCAGAGCTTTCATCATATTCTGAAGTTCCTGTGAGCCCCAGAAGAACAGGAGCGATTGACTGCAAGATTTACAGAGTTACAGAGGTTTCCAAAGATTTTAAAGGTGTAAAATGATGAAGAAATACGGTGTGATGGGTGTGTATTTGCTGCACCCTTTAATGAGAAACTCGGCAACAGCAATGAAAATGTGAATTACAGCCCTGACTGGTTTGGCTCAGTGGATAGAGTGTCAGCCTGTGGACTGGAAGGTCCCAGGTTCGATTCCGGTCAAGGGCATGTACCTTGGTTGCAGGCACATCCCCAGTAGGAGGTGTGCAGAAGGCAGCTGATCGATGTTTCTAACTCTCTATCCCTCTCCCTTCCTCTCTGTAAAAAATCAATAAAATATATTTTAAAAAGAAAAAAAAAAGAAAATGTGAATTACACAGATCTCACGACCTGAGAATTCCATGTCTGGGAATGTACTTACAATGAACATTCTCAATGTGCAAAGAGAATTTTAGAGAATGACATGGTGGCATTGTTTGTAGCCATAAACATCCAAACCCACCCACAGAGACCTGGGAAAGTCCAGGAGACAGCATTCAGATGATAGAACGCTATACAGCCATTAAAAGGAATGAGGCGGGAAACAAAGGAACGAGGGAGATGTGTGCGGAACCGTGGGTTGTCTCCACACTGCGCTGAAACGACATCAACAAATATCTGTATGAACATTTTGTAGGTGAGGCTCAGGAGGTGACTCAGCCCAGCCCATTGTGTGAGTCGGTGGGGAGGCACCACCACCAGGCCAGGTTTTCTGGCATCTAGTTGTTCTGAAATCTTCCCTAGGTTTACAAATAACCAATGGAAAAATGGTTAAAATGGCAAATTTCATGTTATGTACATTACCACAACTAAAATAGACATATTTAAAATACACACAATTAAAAATAAATCAATAGGCAAAGGTCATGAACAGACATTTCTCCAAAGAGGATACGCAAATCGTCAACAAACCCTTGAAAAGATGTTCAACATCACTAGCCATTAGCAAAACGTAAATCAAAACCATCATAAGATTGCCCTAGCCCAGCCGTGGGCAAACTACGGCCCGCGGGCCAGATCCGACCCGTTTGAAATGAATAAAACTAAAAAAAAAAAAAGACCGTACCCTTTTATGTAATGATGTTTACTTTGAATTTATATTAGTTCACACAAACACTCCATCCATGCTTTTGTTCCGGCCCTCTGGTCCAGTTTAAGAACCCATTGTGGCCCTCGAGTCAAAAAGTTTGCCCACCCCTGCCCTAGCCGGTTTGGGTCAGTGGATAGAGTGTTGGCCCTCGGACTGAAGGGTCCTGGGTTCAATTTTGGTCAAGGGCATGTACCTCAGTTGCAAGCCCAATCTCCGGCCCCAAGGGAGCGTGCAGGAGAGAACCAATCCAAGTGCTCATCGGTGTTTCTCTTTCTCTGTCTCTCCTCCTCCCTTCCACTCTCTCTAAAATCAATGAAAAAATATCCTCTGGTGAGGATTAACAAAACAAACAAACAAACAAAAAATACTATAAGATCCCACTTCACACCCACTAGGATGGCTATAACCAGATAGATAAATAGATAGATAGATAGATAGATAGATAGATAGATAGATAATTAACAAGCATTGGTGAAGAAGCAAAGAAATTGCAACCCTCATACACTGTTGGGGAGGGGATATTGTAAAATGGTGCAGTCACCAATTTAGAATATATCTGGTAATTCCCCAAAAGGTTAACCATAGTTACCAAATGATCCAGCAATTCCACTCCATGTGGCCCAAGATAAATAAAATATATGCAAATATTCATAACAGTGATCATTCATAATAGACAAAAAGAGAAAACAACCCAAATGTCCATTAATTAGAGAATGGATGAGAACTGAGGTCCATTCAGACAGTGAAATACTATTCAGCAATAAGAAAGAACAAATATCAATACAGATAGTAGGCATACATCTCAAACACATTACAGTGAGTGAAAGTAGCTAGATGCAAAACACCAGAAAAGACAAATCTATAGACTCAGAAAGCACATCAGTAGCTGCTGGGGTTAGGAGTGGGGGCTGAGAAAGACTGCAAAGGGGAAGGGGGCATCGATCTCCTTGGAGCAGCGGTTCTCAACCTGTGGGTCACGACCCCTTTGGCGGTCGAACGACCCTTTCACAGGGGTTGCCTAAGACCATCCTGCATATCAGATATTTACATTACGATTCATAACAGTCGCAACATTACAGTTATGAAGTAGCAACGAAAATAATTTTATGGTTGGGTCACAACATGAGGAACTGTATTTAAAGGGCCAGAAGGTTGAGAACCACTGCCTTGGAGTGATGCAAAGTTCTACAGCTGGACCATGGTGATGGCTGCACCACTTGGTAAGTTTATTAAAAAATAATGGACTTGTACCCTTAAAAGGCATGCATTGTATGGTATATAAATGAATCCTCAATAAAATTGTTAAAAATAAAAAATCGAAGCACTGGAGTCTCTCCCCAGGCCTGGACCTATCCACACCGGATCACACTCCCGAACGGATCCAAACAGGGAAACTAGGGTAGGAGGCGCAGCTGGGGGGCTGCCCTCCCGCCACCCTCCAGCCCCAGCCCCAGCCCCAGAGCGCGCCTCGTTTCTCTCTTCAGAGCCCCTGCCGCCCAGCCTGCCCAGCCAACCTCCGCCCTCGATGTTCATCCACGGAGTCCAACGCCGCTCTCCGCCTGGCACTCAAACTTGAGAGGACCGTTGCCCCCGGCAACCGCACCGGGACGAAAGAGACTACATCTCCCAGCGCGCCCTGCGCCCCCGAGGACCAATAGCGTCCCATGTCACAATAGCGGGACGTCTTGAGAGTGGCACAATAGTGCGCTGGGACCAGTGATGCCTCAGATCACAATCGCAAGGCGTGACGGGAGTTGTAGTTTCGGGAAGGGCCCGGCTCGCCGCGGAGACTGCTGGGAGCAAAGGAGCGGTTACAAGAAGCATCGCGCACCCTCTATGGCCGCGCCTTGGGTCCTGTTCTACGCCGTCTGTGTGTTGCGGGTGGTGCTGGCCACCGTCTACTTCCAGGAAGAGTTTCTAGACGGAGGTGAAAAGGCGACGCCGTGGTGGCGGGGGCGTAAGCTCCCCGATTCCTTGCCGCCCAACGGAGGGCCGGAGTCGCGTTTGGCTCCGGGGTGGCTGTGGCGACGCCCCGAGGGCCCCGCACCCAGCCCTGACCGATGTGTTTCCCCCCACAGAGCGCTGGAGGAACCGATGGGTGCAGTCCACCAATGACTCCCAATTCGGGCATTTTAGACTCTCGTCAGGGAAGTTTTATGGCCATAAAGAGAAAGACAAAGGTTAGTTTAGGGTTACAGAGAAAATCAAGCTAAATGTGAAATCCCCCATAGCAGCCCTTCAAGGCAAGTGCGGTTCACCCAACACCCCCACCCCCATTCACAGGTGAGGAAACCGAGGCTTCCGTGGGGTCCGGCCTTACTTTTTGTTTTTCTCTTTTTTTCACTTGCCCAGCAAAACCCGCTTTGTACGCACTTGGGGGGCCCCAGGGCCTTGCCCTGCAGAGGAAAAAACAAACCAAAAGGATACTTCTTATTTTTTTTCACTTTAAGAAGGAAAGAAAAGGAGGTAAAAGTTAAATGCTGTCAGGTGCACAGCTCTTCAGGGCACAACAGGGTGAGTGTTTATCCCTGTGCACAAAGGTCAAGCAAGGGAATCCCAGCCCTGCCCCCAGAGGCCCCCCCATACCCCACCCTCCAGGTCCGCAGCCTCCCGGTTCTGGAACAACCTCTGTTCTGGCTGCTGCTCATTCCCGACAACCAAAGGTGGACAAGATACAGCTCGTCGACCACCTATTTGTTTTTCCTAAGCCAGCACACTTGAGAATGGTTCTAACACTTTTTAAAATATATATATATTTTATTGATTTTTTGCAGAGAGGAAGGGAGAGGGATAGAGAGTTAGAAACATCGATGAGAGAGAAACATTAATCAGCTGCCTCCTGCACACCCCCCTACTCGGTATGTGCCCACAATCAAGGTACATGCCCTTGGCCGGAATCGAACCTGGGACCCTTGAGTCTGCAGGCTGACGCTCTATCCACTGAGCCAAACCGGTTAGGGCTAACACTTTAATAGGGGGGAAATTGAAAGGGGAATAGTGCTTTTATGACAAGTAAAAATTACACAACATTCAATGAAATATATGAAATTTCAGTGTCTATCGATAAAGTTTTAGGGGAACACAGCCATGCTCATTTGTTTGCACATGGCCTATATGACTGCTTTCACATGTTCTATATGACTCCTTTCACACTGCCCAGGCAGAATTGAGTCACTGGGACAAAGAGCGAATGGCAGACGAAGCCTAAAATATGTACTCTCTGGCCCTACAGAGAAAGCTTGCCAACCCCTGATTTAGAGGAAAAACCTACTTCTTCACCATCTTCCATTCAATTTATCTCGGTCCCGTTATTCCCATGTTTCCCCGTCTGGCAGCCTCTGGTGTTCAATGGTATATGCATAGTTTTATCAGGTACATGTTGACCCAAAGAGTTGGTCAGAATTCAGGCTCTATGACAAAAATGGAGTGAAAACAAGCAGATGATTCTATGAAGCTTGTCCAAGGACAGGGGTTCCCACTTAGCGTCGGTTTGGTTTTCTCCACACTGTTTTTTCTCCCTTCCATCTGGGATCCTGAGATTGTGTGCATTTCATTCACTGCACATGGGCAAGGCACTGAGGATACCGGTTAATTTGGCCCCTTCTGTTGTGGTCTCCTGGGACCATGACATAGAAGCTATTGTTGGAAAAAGACATAGAATTTAGTCAGAAAGGCCATGGGTGTGGCTGAGGAGGAGGGTAGGACACAGAGGGAGATGGTGAATCATGCGGCCTTAGGAATTGCCTCGATGGAAGGGGCCACACGAGGAGGAGGGGCTGCAGATCAGAGGAAGGGAAGGGTGAGGAAAGAATGAAGGACACAGAGCGGTGTGGTAGGCGGGCGTTCAGCCATGAGTTCAGGATGTACTAATACAAATGCCAAGTCCATTTATGATGACTCTCAGAGCAGCTGTGGGGGCCAGAGTACAGAGCAAGTAAAGGTAGGTTATAATAAGACTGGCTCTGTTTTCAGGTGTGATGAATTTCAGTATAAGATAAGGATTTGGTACAGAGCCCAGTGGCTACTGAAAAGGAGGTTTTGGTCTCAAAGTGAACACCTAAATGCATCATACAAATTTGAGATGATTCACATGACAAAGGATGGCATCTTCATAAAAAGAGCCATCACACATGACAACCACGGGCCAGCTCATCCGGCACAGTGAAGCACCTTTTCACAGATCTGCACTCTGTCCTCCATCTGCTGTTGTGACTCTTTTTTTTAAATCCTCACCTGAGGATATTTTTCCCATTGAGTTTTAGAGAGAGAGAAAGACAGAAATAACAATGTGAGAGAAACACATCAATTGGTTACCTTCTGCAGGAGCCCTGACCAGAGCCCATCTGGGGAGGAGCCTGCAACAAGGTACGTGCCCTTGGCAGGAATCGAACCCGGGACCCTTTGGTCCCCAGGCCAATGCGCTATCCACTGAGCTACACCAGCTAGGGCTGCTGTTGTGACTTTTTTAAAATAATTTTTATTGATTTCAAAGAGGAAGGGAGAGGGAGAGTTAGAAACATCAGTGAGGAGAGAGAATCATTGATTGGCTGCCTCTTACACCCCCACACTGGGGATGGAGCCTGCAAACCTGGCATGTGCCCCGACTGGGAATCAAACCATGACCTCCTGGTTCATAGGTCAACACTCAACCACTGAGCCACACCGGCTGGTCTGTTGTGACTCTTAAGTCACTATTTTAAGATGAGAATTAAGAAAAAGAAGTAGAATGCTTTGTATTTTAATTCAGTTGTTACACAAGCTTCCTTATATATCCCCACCCCTTGGAAGATGAATGGAAGCAAAATTAACCTTTTATCATTAGAATGCATATTTGTCATTTAGAGCTACAGTGCTTTTGTAACATAACAGTGGTGTATTAAGTACAAAAACATCTGCATGTGTCAAAGCAGTTCTGTGGCATGTCCATTGTATATTGTACAAATGAACTATAGGTGCTGGATGACTGTAAATGGTTAGGAGGTTTATTACTGGGAGTAAGAGAAAGACAATAATTTAGTTATCTGCATCACTGAGCACTGTGTCTCTCCTAATCTCTCATGAGTGTTTTTTGTTTGAAGGTCTGCAAACCACTCAAAATGGCCGATTCTATGCCATCTCTGCACGGTTTAAACCGTTTAGCAATAAAGGGAAGACGCTGGTCATTCAGTACACAGTGAAACACGAGCAGAAGATGGACTGTGGAGGGGGCTACATTAAGATCTTCCCTTCGGATGTAGACCAGAAGAACCTGAGTGGGAAGTCCCAGTACTATGTTATGTTTGGTGAGTTCAGGTAGTACAAAGCAACCGTTTCTGGTGACTGAAGATCCTTCCACCTCTAGAATCCTTAGACCAAGACTGCTAAGATGGTAGTATTGTGTATACCTGGCCAAAGGTTTTTAGTACTGTTAAATCTGTTTAACATTAAAAAAAGGCAACTGTACCATTCTATTATACTTTAGAGAAAGTTATTTGTTTAACATTAATGTAGACCCAAGTATTCTAAATATACTAGTATCAGGAGTCAGAAAACCTTGTCCATGGGCCAGATCAGGCCACAGCCTGTATCTGTTATGGCGTGTGAGCTGAGAATGGGTTTTAACATTTTTGAATGACTGAAAAAAAATCTTAAGAAGGATATTTTTGACACATGGAAATGATATGAAACTCAAATTTCAGTGTCCACAAATGAAGTCTTATTGGCTACAGTTTCACTCATTTCATTTGCATTTTGTCAAGAGCTGCTTTCAGACAGCAATGGCAGAGTGGAGCCATTGTGACAGAGACCATATGGCCCCAAAGCCAAAAATACTAACTGCCTTGCCCCTTACAGAAAAGACTGGCTGACCCTGGAATACATTACATGTCTCCTGACACCAGGGGAACTTGATTAAAATGTGTGCTGGATGGGAAGAGACCACATTGGGCCACAGAAAGTAGACATGACCAAAGCGTGAGATCCCAAAGCTTTATGAACGAAGAGGATTCTGGGAAGATGGCAGAGTAGGAAGCACTAGGAATCTGTCTCCCCACCTAGACAACAGTTCTGCTGGCAGAAGCTGCCAGATTTAAATATTTTGGGACTGGAGTCCGTGGAAGGATTGCAATTTCCAGGGGAAACCGGGAAGGTTAAATTCAGTCCATTTTAGCCTCAGCACAGTAGCATATCCCCACCTCCCACCCCTAACGCAGCGGTGCAGGCCTTCCTGGAGTTTGCAGGAGCTAGGGTGGCAGAAAGGACTCTGTCCTCCAAATATTTGGGTTCCGAGCTCTGATCGCTGATCGGTGCTTCTGGTCACAGAGTGGGGCAGCCATTTGGTTGTACCTCCCTCTCTGCCTCCAGCCAAGTGACTTCCAGGGGAAGTAAAGGGCCAGGACCGCCCCCCCCCCATTATTTCCCCTTTCCCCTTAGGAAGCCAGACATTAAAGACTAGGATGTTTATTCAGGGAAAATTAGAAAGTGACCACACATGCCCAGGGAAAGACTCAGAAAAGACCTGAGAAGACCTTAAGTTTACATCTCAGGCTGACTTGGCACAGAGACAGCCTGAAAAAATAAATAAATAGCCCGAGGGGTGTGGCTTAGTGATTGGGCATTGACATATGAACCTGGAGGTCATGGTTTGATTCCCAGTCAGGACACATGCCCAAGTTGCGGGCTCCATCCCCAGTAGCAGGTGTGCAGGAGGCAGCCAATTGATGTTTCTCATCAATGTTTCTATCCCTCTCCCTTCCTCTCTCAAATCAACAAATGTATTTTTTAAAAAAACATTAGCCCATTTAATTGGCAAAATAGCTTTGTGAAGTCAAGATTAACTCAAGGCATAAGGAGGCTGCATAGTTGCAACTGTGTCTCAAAACTGAATGAGAGCTGAGGTCAGAGCCAATCAGTCTGGCTCCAAAGCCCTCACCTGGGTGCAGGGACACTGGTCAGAGCTTCTGAGCAAGGACCCCAGGCTCAGGCAGCATGTCAGGGAGGCTTTTTAGATTGTTAACCCTTTCCTTACTCTTATGCTGATTTACACTTGAGGCCAAAGTGGCTGCAGGGAAGAGAGAAATGACCTGAACTGAGAACAGTATCATTTCTCAGGTGATATAAATGGGAGCTATCCACTTAAATATCTCCATGTAGGTATCTGATCATTCCTGGACATGTAAGCGTCCTGTGCCTTGGATATTATTTCAGGAGAATGGTTGGGGGTATGTTGTGGTAATGCATTATGCAAGGAAATTGAGAGCCGCTAATTTTTTTTTTTGTAGGACCTGATATTTGTGGATTTGATATCAAGAAAGTTCATGTTATTTTACATTTCAAGAATCAGTATCATTCAAACAAGAAACCTATCAGGTGTAAGGTAAATTATTTTGTATTTATTTATTTATTATTTATTATATTTTTATTGATTTCAGAGAGGAAGGGAGAGAGAGAAACATCAATGATGAGAGAGAATCATTGATCGTTTGCCTCCTGCACACCCTCCACTGTGGATGGAGTCCACAACCCAGGCATGTGACCTGACCTGGAATCGAACCTTGACCTCCTGGTTCATAGGTTGACACTCAACTACTGAGCCATGGTGGTCGGGCTGATTTTTAAAAAAAATATATTTTATTGATTTTTTTACAGAGGGGAAGGGAGAGAGATAGAGAGCTAGAAACATCGATGAGAGAGAAATATCAATCAGCTGCCTCCTGCACACCTCCTACTGGGGATGTGCCCGCAACCAAGGTACATGCCCTTGACTGGAATCGAACCTGGGACCTTTCAGTCCACAGGCCGACGCTCTATCCACTGAGCCAAACCGGTTAGGGCTGATTTTATATTTAAATCAGTGATTGTGTTAACTCTTGTCAGATAATAACGTAAGTTTAGAGAGAATAGTTTTGATTTTAAAATATTTAAGTGAGCCAGGGATGGGTCATAGCAAACACCCTGTCCTGCTCTCTAGTTGAGCAGGCGCATTAGAGACACTTGTCCACTACTTTGGTTTGGTTTCTGGAGTTTTTTTTCCCATCAGGAGGGCACATTCACTTTTTACTGTGAGCTATGACATCGATTTATAATTTGCCCCATCAGGGTTACAACAGAGTGGTCACATTTTAACTATATCCATCATTATTAAGGAATGAAATATTCCTGATTTCATTCCTTTATTCCTGAAAATTAATTGGAGAAATGAATCTTCAAAATGCCAAAACATTTAAAATAGAAATATTTCTAAAATGAAAGCATACACTCTTACTTTTTTACCCAGGGGATCTGTGAAAATGACTCTTTAGGTCTTAGGGCAGCCGTGGGCAAACTATGGCCCGCGGGCCGAATCCGGCCCGTTTGAAATGAATAAAACTAAAAAAAAAAAGACCATACCCTTTTATGTAATGATGTTTACTTTGAATTTATATTAGTTCACACAAACACTCCATCCATGCTTTTGTTCCGGCCCTCCGGTCCAGTTTAAGAACCCATTGTGGCCCTCGAGTCAAAAAGTTTGCCCACCCCTGTCTTAGGGGCTGCTTTAGAACTCAATGGCCCCACCTTGGGCTTCTCCAAAGAGGTGGCCTGTGTTAAGTCCCTGGCATGTGGGCCTGTGGAAGAGAAGTATGTTGTGCAATGCCCCCCTCATTTGCATATAAGCACCAGGAAACAGGAACTTGTCCCCTGAGACACCCCAGGGCCCAGAGCTCCAACATCAGAGGCCTGTGTGAATCTGCATGAATTTGGGCAGGAGGCCCTAGTGCAGTGGTTCTCAAGCTTCTGGCCCTTTAAATACAGTTCCTCATGTTGTGACCCAACCATAAAATTATTTTTGTTGCTACTTCATAACTGTAATGTTGCTACTGTTATGAATCGTAATGTAAATATCTGATATGCAGGATGGTCTTAGGGGACCCCTGTGAAAGGGTCGTTCAACTGCCAAAGGGGTCGTGACCCACAGGTTGAGAACCGCTGCCCTAGTGTATTTCAAGATCATTGACAGCATGGAGTGAAAGCATCTATAACTCTCCCTCAGTCCGTCCTAACCCCAGCAGGGAGCAGCAGACCTCTTCACAAAACCCCAGTGAGTCTCCATTGGTAGCACCATCCCTCTTGGGCTCCCACCTACTGATGATGTAGTTCACTTGGATTGTGAGCTCACCCCTCACCCCATGCGCCCCTCCCATAGGGCGATGGGAAGCTCACAATCTTAAATCTTCCTCCCTCCACTTAATGTTTGGACCAAAGGGCAGGTCTTTACGATTGAGTCCCAAGAAATTGTTCAGTTGCACATCAGGTGTGTGGGAGAGACACTGTGGAGGCTGTGAGGTTCAGCCCAGATCATGCCTGGGAGGCCAAAGCATGGCCACCCGGGGTCAACAAGCCCACAGGGCCCTGAGAGGCACCCAAAGCTGATGAGTGCTCAGACATGTGCTGCTGTTCCTGCAATCTGTTAGAAAAATAACACCCATCTGCTGAAGGAGCACCGATTTACAGCAGCTAGTCAGCATTCTGGTCTTCCCAGGGAGGAGGACATTATTTTCATAGGGCTCTGATTCATTCTGTGATGCTGGAAAGGAACAGGCAAGAACCTTTCCTGCAGGCGGTGGCCAGACCTCAAGCGTTCTGAAGTGCATGTTAGAAAAATAGTTCAGATGTTCTGGAGAGGGTGGGTGGGGGACAGGGTGATCAACAGGCAGGAAAACAGGTGAGACTGTCAGGCCCAGGCTCTGGCGGAATGCAGACCGTAGGAGCGTGTTGACATCATTCAGGAGTGGGGTCCAGAGGACTTCATGATGTTTGGAATGTGGGTACTGAGGATGTGGACGATGACTCTCAGTAGCATTACTGTTACTTAGGAAGGGAAACAAAGGTCAAGGAGGGACCAGGGCAGACTGGGGAGTCATGTTTGAATGGTTAGGGGTGAAATCCTGGCAGACATCCAGATAGAGGTGTCAGTAAGTTGTTAGAAACAGGTCTGAAGCTCAAGCAGATGGTTGTGATTAAAGATGCCTTTTGGAGCTGTTTGCATATGTATGGGAGTGAATATAATCCCCAGGAGGCTCTGCTCTTGTAGCCAAATCCTGGGGAGCCCCAGCAATGGGGCCAGGGAGCCCAAAGTGAAGTTAGGAACGGGAGTTGAGAAGAAGGCCAGTAGAGAGCAGGGGGGGAGCATTGGTATTCAGCTGTCACACCAAGCAGACTGCAGTGTTGATCTTGGGCAAGCCATTTGCCACTGTGTGGACAGCAGTGGCCTGTCCAGCAGGGCACAACAGGCAGGAACTGAAGAAGCCTTTAGCTTTGGCTCTTGGTAGGGAGAGAATCCTCCTGACACGGACCCTTTAAGCTGGGGCAGTGGCTCCTGAACCTGAGCAGGGTCAGCGTCCCTGGAGGGCCTGTGAAAATTACTGAAGGGTCCACCAGGTTCCAGTGCAGCACGTTGGGACCCACGTGGGAACCTACACTTCCCAGTGATGCTGATGCTATGGGTTGTGCTTTGAGAAGCCCAGTAGGAGTCCCCTCCGCTATTGACAGGCAGGCATATCCTGGGCACCCTCAGCCTCCCCAGGCACCCATCACTCCGCCCCCCTCACCCCCCATCCTTAATTGCATATTTGTTGAATACTTTCCTGTGTCTGGCCCAGGGCTTCAATCGTGACCCAGAGAGACACCGGGCCTGCCCTCACGGAGCTTCCATTGCTGTATAGCTCAGAGCATCAGAAAGTTCTCCCCTGTGTTAGAAATAGAGCGGAGCCCTGGTTGGAGTGTTGTCCCACACACCAAGGGGCTGTGGGTTTGATTTCCTGGTCAGGGCACACACCTAGGTTGCAGTTCAATCCCCAGTCAGGGCATGTATGGGAGGTAGCTGATCAATGCTTCCCCCCTCTCTCCTCCTCCCTTTCTCTAAAGTCAATAAACCTATCCTTGGGTGAGGATTCATGACAAAACAAAACAAAATTATAAAAAAAAAAAGAAAAGAAAAGAAATGGAGCAGACTTCATTTGGCATCTTTCAGGATATAGAACAGGAAGTAGTTTTACACATAACTTTTCATAAACGACGCCATCATCCCATGGTTTACACCAACTGCCCCATCGTAACTGCCTGTAGGATTATAGTGGGGGCCAGTATCTTTGCCCAGAAGGGAATCAGCCACTCAAGAGAAGGCTGCCAGTAGCAGGGTTCTACAAAGAGGCGATGCTTCTGTTACGCCCTGTTACAGTCCCCTATCCTACAACCCCTCTTCTTTCTGTTTATAACAAGTCTTTGACTGATGGTAACTTAAACTGCATGTTTAGACCTGCCTTGAAACATCTCCCTGTCATCCTTTCCTCCCCTAAAATGTGCAGGTTGATGGCTTTACACACCTCTACACTCTGATCTTAAGACCAGATCTCACTTATGAAGTGAAAATTGATGGCCAGGTGATTGAATCCGGCAGCATTGAGTATGACTGGAACTTAACATCCCTGAAGAAGATGGAGAAGTCTTCAGCAGAGTCCAAGGACTGGGAGCAGGAGGAAGAGGACAAGCTCCAGGTGTGGATTTTTCCCAAACAATTTTAGAAAGTGTGCAAGCAAAATTTGTAAGTACTAGGCCCTGTATGATTGCTGCATGACAGGTAATCACGTTGACAACAACATAATGATCAAAATGCTCTCTCTAGTGCATATGTGCTGAAACCAGCCACAGATCTGCATGCCTCAAGGTATTGTGAAAAAGTTTTATAATATTTGAGATCAAAACAAGTATGGTTTGTTTTTCTTAACCAAAATTAAATGCATCTTAACCTTAAAATTTTTTTTTGTTATTCTGCATTTGAACATGAAATATTTTTGTGGCCTCATACTTGTGATTGACGACCAAGATCTGTTAACATATAACTATGTTTCCTAGGGCTGCTGAGCAAAGCACCACAAAGAGCAAATCCCTAACTTAAAGGTTTTTCTATTTCCTGGTCGGGGCTCATGTGGGAGGCAAGCAATCAATGTCACTTTCTCACATCGATGTTTCTGTCTCTCCCCCTCTCTTCCACTCTCTAAAAATCAATGGGAAAATATCCTCGAGTGAGGATTAACAAAAATAAAACCCGGGACCCTTTCCAGCATTTCTCAAAGGACAGAAATGTATTCTCTTATAGTTCTTGAAGGCAGAGTTGGAAATCAGAGTGTTGGCAGGCAGGACCACACTCCCTCTCAAGGCTCTACGGGAGGATCCTTACTTCTCCCAGTGTCTGTTGCCTTTAGGTATTCCTTGGCTGGTACACACATCACTCCAGTCTCTCTGGCTGGCTTCATCTCCACATGGCCTTTTCCTCTTCTTGTGTCTCTTCTGTCTCCTAAAAAGACATTTATCATTGGATTTAGGGTCCACCTGAATAATCCAGTTGATTTGCCTGAGATCCTTATCATAATTACATCTGCGAAGACCCCGCCCTCCCCCTTTAAGCTCACATTCCCAGATTTAGGATGTAGATAAATCTTTTTTGGAATTACCCACTATAGCCACTTTTTTTTCCAGTCTATGTTTTTAGTTTTTGTTTTTTTTTTAATCCTTACCCCAGGATATTTTCCATTGATTTTTAGAGAGAGTGGAAAAGAGAGGGAAAGACAGAGAGAAAGAGTGATGTGAGAGATTGGTTGCCTCCTGCATGTGCCCTGACCAGGGCCTGGGCTGGGGAGGAGCCTGCAACTGAGGTACATGCCCTTGACTGGAATCGAACCCAGGACCCTTAGGTCTGCAGGCTGACACTCTATCCACTGAGCCAACCTGGCTAGGACAGTCTATGTTTCTTTATTGTTGTAACATTTTGTTTTGAACATCAAACACTATACCAGAACCTGAGCCATTTATCTGAAGACAGTCATCTTTGCCATAACTACGAGTACTGGGCTAATATCTATAATTAATTTCTGACAACATATAACTTATTAGTGGCATTGCTATTTAATAACCAAATACTTCAGAATAGACTGAATATAATTATTAAATCAAAATGGCATCTTGTTTAGACTATTAAGTTATTTGGCAAGCCTTTTTTCCCATAGATAGTTGAAAGTTAAGTTCCTTGAATTTGGAATCAATGGTGTCCAATCAATGAGAATGCCTTCAGATTAGAGCAGATTCCCCAACATAAAAGTTTTTCCATCATATCTCAAGGGGGAAAAAAAGGCAAAGTTTCCCCCTCCCTTTCTTATCTTAACAACAAACCAAAAAATGGAGTGTTTACCTAGAAAAAGCATTTACTTTAAACAAGGCACAGAATGGCAAACAAAACAAAACAAAACAAAACAACACCTGCAATTCCTCCTTCCCCAGCAGTTTGGGTGGAGACAGGTCCCCACAGGGCTAATCAGGTATTATTTTTGTGTGTATATAGGTGAGTGTTTCTATGTCTATAAAGTGTCTCAATAGTAATTGCTTTTCTCCTTAATCAGTCTTTCAGAAGCTCCCCTCTGAATTGGCTGTTTTATCCCTATGCTCAGACCCCTATGAGCTCCTAAACAAATTAGTTCATTATGGCATTAGAATCTGAAAACCCACAATTCTACTAGGGAGCCTGCTACTCAGATTGAATTGTAATCATTTTCTGGATCCCAACACAGCAGTGGTTCATGGTTGTCATTTGTGGTCTGGGTCAAAAAGCAGTAGGAGAGCCTGGCTGGCATGGCTCAGTGGTTGAGCCTCGACCTGTGGACCGGTAGGTCCCGGTTCCATCCTTGGTCAGGGCACATGCCTGGGTTGCCGGCTCAATCCCCAGTGTGGGACATGCAGAGGGTAGATGATCAATGATTCTCTCTCATCATTGATGTTTCTCTCTCTCCCTCTCCCTTCCTCTCTGAAATAAATAAAAATATATATTTTTTAAAAAGCAGTAGGAGAGACCTAGCTAGTTTGGCTCAGTGGATAGAGCCTAGGTTCGATTCTAGTCAAAGGTATGTACCTCAGTTGCAGGCTTGAACCCCGGCCCTGGTTGACCTCATATGGGAGGCAACCAATTGATGTGTCTCTCTAACATCGATGTTTCTCTCTCTGTGTTTCCCTCCCTCCCTTTCACTCTCTCTTAAAATCAATGGAAAAATATCCTCGGGTGATAATTAACAACAACAACAACAAAAAGCAGTAGGAGAGGTGACTAACTCCCATGTTTCAGTTGTTGAGAAGTTAGAGTATCATGAAAAAGCTGCTAAGTTAAAAATGTTGCCCTAGCTGGTTTGGCTCAGTGGATAGAGCGTTGGCCTGTGGACTGAAGGGTCCTGGGTTCAATTCTGGTCAAGGGCACATGCCCAGGTTTCAGGCTCCATCCCCAGTAGGGGGCGTGTGGCAGGCAGCCAATCCATGATTCTCTGTCATCATTGTTTCTATCTCTCTCTCCCTCTCCCTTCCTCTCTGAAATCAATAAAAAATATATTTTAAAAATGTTTTCAATTTCTCAGTTCTAAAAGAGAAAACACCATTGTATACAACTTTTATGCTTTTATATGTATTTATCTGAATATTAATCTAAGCAATTTTTTCTTATCTATTCACATATAAGACAACTATTTATTCAGTACCTACTAAGCCATACACATATGTATATAGATGTGTATATATGTGTATATGTGAGTTTGTATAAACTTGTATATATATACTTATATAATTTTTTCTTATCTATTCACATATAAGACAACTATTTATTCAGTACCTACTAAGCCATACACATATGTATATAGATGTGTATATATGTGTATATGTGAGTTTGTATAAACTTGTATATATATACTTATATATTATGCATAGATTGTGTATTTAAATGTATATATATATATATATATATGCATATATATAGGTATTATTTTTGTGTGTATATAGGTGTGTGTTTCTATGTCTATAAAGTGACTCAATAGTAATTGCTTTTCTCCTGCTAACCAGGTAAATCTTGGGACATTTCTTAGTTATCCAGCCTCTCTCTGGAATAGTCCATGTGTGACTGTGATGTAGACAGATTTCAGCTAACCATCAGTGAATGTGTGGTCCCCTCTCCCATCATCACTTTTTGCCCATCATTTTACCTTTAGACACCATTTCAAGTTTTCCACGAATGGGGAAAGTGCTGCAGTCACACGGGCTGAGGGGAGGTTAGAGAGAACATCCCGGCAACGCATGCCCCCAAGGCCCTCTGTGGGATCTGGACCCCGAGCACTCGGCCCTTCAACCACCAAATTGAGGAGGAGATGAGGAAATGGCGACCTGGGTCACAGGCCTGGCCATTTCCTGGTAGCTAAGGATTTCCTTTCTCAAATCTGAGAATCTTTTTTTT